AGAGAGAGAGAGAGAGAGAGAGAGAGAGAGAGAGAGAGAGAGAGAGATTGCATATATTCTTTCTTGACATGTTGTATACTGACTGAGTTATTAATCTACAGCTTTGGTCAGGAGAACCAGACTGTAGTCCACAGTCCCTGTCCTGAAGCTTTTAATTGTCGTCCTACTTAAAACACCTGATTTCAACAGTTGAATTAGCTCCTTAGCAGGTCATTAACTCTGCTGTGATGGAGCAGGTGTCACCAGAAGGTGCTATTTATAAGACTGAGTTGGTTGCAGCTCCACAGACTGAAAAAGTAATTCGGATTAAAAAAATGTTTCTACAAGGAACCCGTACAGAAGACCTGACTCAACCTTGTTAGAAGAAAGACAGAAAGAAAGAAAGAAAGACAGAAAGACAGAAAGAAAGAAAGACAGACAGAAAGAAAGACAGAAAGACAGAAAGAAAGAAAGAAAGAAAGAAAGAAAGAAAGAAAGAAAGAAAGAAAAATTAGCAAAACACAAGCTTAAACCTAAAAGCAGAAAAACTATGGCTAGAAGTGGCAAAACAATTGGTTAAATTATTAAAATAGTAGATATAGAAAAAATAGTGTCTAAAGTCAGCTGAAATCAGCAATATGGCAAGTCATATAAGTGAAGGTAGAAAGCTAAAAGGAGCCAAATGGTAGCTACTACTATTTCAGTTATGCCTTTCACATCCATTTTAAGAGTTTTAGTCCATAACTCCTGCAGCCTCACCTCTGTCCTCTAGAATAAAAGATGATATGATACGGTCCCACTCAGCATTCCTGGTATCCTGTAGAACCAGAACCAGGTCAAAGCGACTTAACAACGGGCTGGCCAGAGCTACATTTACAGAGAGAGGCTCACTGGAGTCGTATTGTCCTTTAGGGTTGGTTGCAGCAAGAATGGAGGTGCGAGTGTTCAGCTTACACACCATCCTGTACAGAATAAACATATTGACCAAAGAACACACACACAAACTCTACAAAGTGACATTTATCTAAAAGTAACTGCTTGGTGTAGAATGGTAAATGGACTGTATTTATAATAGCACATTTCTATCTTATGGAGATCCTCAAAGCGCTTTACAACACAATCTGTGTCCTCATTTACCCATTCATACAGCACTCTACTAGATCTCTACAAAGCTAATTGAACAAATCATTTTAAAGAGACTAATCAGAGCTTTATCACATTCATACACCAATGGGACACACATCGGAGGCAACTAGGGGTTCAGCGTCTTGCCCAGAGACACTTCAGCATGTGACTGCAGGTAGATTCGAACCCCCAACTCTTGCATTGGAGGACGACTGCTCTAACCACTCAGCCACAGCCGCCCCAAAATGATGCAGAGTTTCTTTCAGGGTTAGTTTGTTTAATATGTGATGATTGTTGTATTTGACCTTACATTGTATATTCCATAAGTGGAGTCTAGAGTCTTAATTCTTTTGTTTATTCTTACAAAAGACGATTCACAAAACTAAGTTACAAATTAATGTCTTGTACAGGGGACTTCTAAATGAATGTAAATCTGAAAATACAGTTCCTGATTGAGCTTTTGAAAAAACTTCAATTAAAAAAGATTGATAAAATTGCAACCGGGGCAACACGGTGGAGCAGTTGGCAGAGCTGCTGCCTTTCAGTGAGCAGGTGGCCCCGTTTCAAATCCTGGTCCGGAGGCCTTTTTGGGTGGAGTTTGCATGTTCTCTCTGTGCATGTGTGGGTTTACTCCGGGTACTCCAGTTTCCTCCCACAGACCAAAAACATGTATGTTAGGCTGAATGGTAACTCTAAATTGGCCTTAGGTGTGAGTGAGACAGTGAATGGTTGTTTGTCTCATTTGTCTATATGTAGCCCTGTGATGGACTGGAGACCTGTCCAAGGTGTCCCCGCCTCTCGCACAGTGACTGCTGGAAATGGGCACCAGTGACCCCCCGCAACCCAAAAAGGAAGAAGCGGGTAAAGATAATGGATGGATGGATGGATGGATGGATGGATGGATGGATGAAATTGCGACCTACAAGGACAATCTGTATCAGGATTTTTGATTATAAATATACACTTCTCCCCAGACACCAATTTAAATGGTTTAAAAATACAGACCCTTCAACAGTGTGTAGTGGGGATTATATATATTACAGTAAATATGGAAGCTCCTATTAGGCATCATAGCGGCTAAGACGAATAGGGTTAATACCTGACTGAGGCACAGAAGGAAACTGGCACTAACACCAGGGGAGTAAAGAACCAGCTACTGGTCAACATAACCACAGCTCAGGACAATAAGACCAGACACACAAACGTGTACACTGCCTGGATTGACTACAGGTAAGCATATGACTCAATACCACAGATACCGAAGTGCTTGAAACTATACATCAACAGAACACTAAGAGCCTTCATCAAGAACTCAATGTAAATGTGGAAGACAACTCTAGAGGCCACTTCAAAGCCAAATGCACAAGTCTACATCAAATGTGGTGTATACCAAGGTGATGCACTGTTCCCACTCCTGTTCTGCATACCTGCACCCTCTTAGCCAGGTCATTGCAAAGAGTGGCTTTGGATACCAGCTCCAAAGTGGAACAATTATCAGTCATCTCGTCTACACGATAAGTCTGCAAGCAAGTCAGCCACAACCAAGTATATACAGAGAGTAAGACAGGTCCTAAAGAGCCAGCTGAATGGCAAGAACAAACTCTGAGCCATCATAAAATGACCTGACCAAAGGAGGAGATAGAAGCCGCTGATATGAAGACTCAAAAGCTCCTTACAATGTATGGAGGCTTCCACCCCAAGTCCAGCACCCTGAGACTATACACTACGAGAAAAGAGACAGAGGACTAGTGAGCATCTGAGCCACTATACAGGATGAAACAACAAAGATCCTGAAGTACATCAGGAGGAAAGCCCCCAACAATGAACTGATGAGTGAATATCTCAGGCAGCAGCAGAAACCCAATGTGGAAGGGGAGGAACAGTGGAGCCATCATGGAAAGATAATCCCATGTATGGCATGTACCACCAGCAAATTAAGGAAGTGGCTGATAACAAATCCTACCAGTGGCTAGAATAATATACAGGAACATCTGTGCAGAGTATGAACTGAAGTTCCCACAGTCAAAGTGGGAGATGCCACCAAGGGTGGTGGAGAATGTAAGGTCTAAGATACAGTGGGACTTCCAGGTCCAGACTAACAAACAGGTGATGGCTAACCAAGCAGACATTGTAGTGGTCAACAAGCAAGAGAAGGCAGTGGTGATAGATGTAGCAATCTCAAGTAACTGGAACAGCAGGAAGAGGGAGCATGAGAAGCTTGAGAAATACCCAGGCTGACAGAGGCTGTGGAGAGTCAAAGCGTCAGTAGTCCGAGTGGTCACTGGAGCACTCTGTGCTGTGACTCCCCAAACTGGGAGAGTTGTTCCAACAGTTCTCAGGAAGTGGCCTGTACAGGAACTATCTGTTTCTCAGATAAACAAAAAATATCCACATGTCTGAAGAACTTTTTAATGTGCTTTTGTTCTTGTCCCCTCAAGGACATAGGGGTTGGGGTGTGGGGTTCCTGGAAGGGGAGTGACAAAAATCTGCTGTGAATTTTTCTGCATCAACAGAAATTCTCAGGCAGTTTGGACCTTAAAACTCTGGATGGGAAGGACAACGTCTTCAAGTTCAGAATTTAAGTCCAGATGCTTTTTTTTTTTTTAATAACAATTTTTTTTGGTTTTATTGGTAACAAAAATTCTGACAATCACAACGTGTAAATGATAAAGTGAACATTTTTTGTCTCTGTTGTCTATGTGGTCCTGAGATGGACTAGAAACCTGTCCAGGCCATTTTAACTATCTTATAAAATCCAGTGTAGATGTGTCTTCCATACCCAGCTTTGGCCACACTGATTGACTGCTGCTCCATAGCTTCATGAATACTGATGCGATCATGCTCCTTGATGCTGTTGAATTCATCGATGCAGCACAAGCCACCATCAGACAGAACCAAGGCTCCTGCCTCCAGGTGCCAGTCACCTCCATCTTTCACTGCAGCCACTGTCAGACCTTTAGCACATCAAATGTAGAGTTAAACTGAGAAAAACAAACTTAACTTGTCAGAAATTATCAGGCTGAGACAAAATAAGACTAATATTTCACAGGTCTTGGCCGTTAGTAAACAGTATTTGCAAGAGAGCCTCTAAATGTCTCCAAATTTGCAGATGTTGGATTTTGACACATTCACAGTAGCTCTCCTCTCACAGAAAACATTCAGATCTAAAAGCCACATAAATACTGATTTTTAAAAACTGCTCCAAATCCGCCTAATTTCTAGAGTCCTCCACTAGATTACTGTACCGGTAAATCATAAACATGGGGGCAGCTGACAAATAGAGAGGAGGTGTTTAATAAAATAATGTACACAGCCATACAGTGCTGAATGTCATGCACATAAAATAGGCCTTTTCAAAACTTAGCTGCTCAAAACATGTTCAAACAGCTCGCTCGTCACAAACACGCAGAATTCAATGGTTGCATGTAAATCCACCAATTTTCCCACTATGTTGATTCACAGTCACAAGCCCAGTGAGATACTAGCAGAAGAACTCAACAACAGACAGACTCACCTGCACTTGTGGATCCGATTCCAGCTGTAAGCACGGAGCGAGATATGATCTTAACTGCATACTTCAGAAATTGAGACTTCCCGGTACCAGGATCACCAACCAGCAACATGTGGCACTCTCCTAGAAAAGTACTGAGATTAATTAATAAACTGCTGTTTGTGTTCATAGGTGACCACTTCACTGCAACTGGGGGAGATGCCCAAGACATCAGCCCCCACCCACCGTGCGCCTTGCCGCAACCGCCCCAGATTTTTTTAAATATCTCTGCAGTTTTAAACACTAATGCACTGGGTTGGAGTGGATCTAGACTTATAGCCCCCTAGCTTGGTCTACAGCCTATGGGCCAAACGTCAGTTCAAAGTACCCGGCTTTCTTGAAGTCCTTAGCAGAGGTGCTAGAAGGTGCTCCAGCTAGAGACTCCCTCATTCTGCAAGGGAACTTTAATGTCTATGTGTGATTGAAATAGTTTTCTCTGTAGGGTAGATGGACTCACCCTTACAGAGAGGGTGAGAAGATTGGTTAGCTGGGAAAAACTCAAAATAAAACCACTGCTTCTCCATATTGAGTGTTTGGGCATCTAGTAAGAATGCCTCCCAAAGGAGATGTTCCAGACATGTCCAACTGGAAGGAGACCCCGGGGAAGAGCAAGAACATGCTACAGAGACTAAGGCTACATTTACACTGCAGGCAAAAGCAGTTCAAATCATTTTTTGTCCATATGCAACCCATTAATCTTTTAACAACGGTCGGAATGTGACAAATGCACTTTTCTCAAGTCTGATTCAGGTTGTAGAATGAACATATGCTGATATATATTCATAAATTAAACGGATTCTTTCATTTTACTGGACTGGATAATATCGTGCATTGAATTTAATAAAATGTGGACGGAAACGTGTTTATCTTTGACTCACCAATGACAGTGGGTCATTTATTAACAGAATCAAAGTTTAACACATCACACATTTACATTAATTGGCAAATTGAAAAATAACAACATAGCTAATTTAGCAAGTTTTACAAGGAAGACCATACGGCGATTGTTTTCTCACTTCCAGCAGTACAACAGACATTAACCACACGGCGGTGGTTGAAAAACTTTGCTTCAGACATTTCTAAAAATATCTGGAATGATTTCTTAGCAGGATAGAATAATTTTAAAGATGGGAAATGAAGTTTAAGTTGAGAGAGATGGGGAGGGAATTTGTCTGTTATAACCAGAAACAGCACGCTCCTTCTAGACCAGCTTGACCCAACGGTACGCTTTGGTTGAGATCGACTCTTTTACCTTTGCAGATGATAGTTTCAGCGTTGGTGTAGAGCTCTCCTTTCAACTCTTTCAGCGTCTCCGTAAGAACAGCTAAACCTCGGGAGTCGTGAGATCATCCAGAACAGACATTTCATAATTCCCTGATCTTCTCTCGTTCAGCTTGATTTTTCTTCCTCCAGCATCCTGAATTCCAGCCTGAACTCTAGAACTGCTGTGAACTAGGAAGTGCTGCACCTTTTAAAAAGGGTCACTTCTGGTTTATTTGAGGACTTTCTGATTGGTCGATGGACCAACAGAGGTGTGTTTTTGTGATGTAAGGTGTTGTTAAAAAGTCAAGGAAAAAGATTAAGATTGTTTAAGAACAGACAGAAGATATTATGAAGAACTCAGACTTTGTGGAGTCACTTCTCTAGTATCTTGCTGTAAAAGTTAAACATGACATTTCTTTTTCAGTAAACTTGCAGTTGACCGAAACTTGAACTTTGACCAACTTACACAACTTGCTCATTTCAAACAGACGATCAAGAAATTGAATCATTACTCTGTAACATATTCCAACTTGATTTCCACTTTGAATGAGGATTAAAAATCGTTATTACTGTTTCACAGTTGATTTAAAAATGAGTAGTTCACTTCAACATTTACACATTGTTTGAACTAACACAATTTGATTATCAAACATTTGTAAAATAGTAATGATAATCGAAAGTAGTCTTCTTTCACTTGATTAATTCAAGAAAGAAAGTCTCAGGATGGGTCAACCTGTATTTCTGGATTCAAATCAATGAAATGACAGTTTCTGTCCCATGTCAGACCACATCTCAATCTTCCTGGCTCCTGCTTACATGCCCCCGCTGAGACGCTCCAGACCGGTTCAAAAGAAAGTTAAATGTTGGATCCAGGACAGTGGCCCCATACTGAGAGATTGTTTTGATCGAACAGACTGGCAGGTTTTCAGAGAAGCTGCTGAAAATGGAGGTTCGCTTGATCTTGACCAATACACATCCTCAGTACTGGGTTACATTAGTACATGTACTGACACAGTCTCCACTATCAGAAATGTTAAAAGCTACCCAAACAGAAAACCTTGGCTGAATGCAGAGGTGCGTACCCTGCTGGAAGCCAGGAACACTGCCTTCAGGTCTGGAAACTCAGAGGAGCTGAGTAGGACAAGAAAAGAGCTGGTTGCTGGTATTAAGAGGGCCAAGGCCACATATGTGTAGTGAACCTGATCTGGCCTGATCTGACCCTGATGACCTCAAATCTATCAGATGGACAGAGACTGTTATTTTCATTGATCTGAAAACAGTCTGAGCCATCTGGTGACTTTCTTTCTTGAATTAATCAAGCAGAAAAGACAATTCTTTATAATCATTACTGTCTTACAAATGTTTGATAATCAAATTGTGTTAGTTTCACTCAATGCTTACAGGTTGAAAAGAACTACTCATTTTTATTTTACATAAACAGTAAGTAATGATTTTTATTCCTCATTCAAAGAAGAAATCAGGTTAATATGCATTTCTTGATTTTCTGTCTGAAATGAGCCAAGTCGTAAGTATGTGAAAGTTGAAGCTTCGGTCAACTAAATGTTTACTGAAAAAGGGATGTCATGTTTTACTATTTGGAAAGATACAACAGAGTGAGGCTCCAAAAAGTCTGGTATTCTGCAATAATCTTTTCTGTATGTTGAAAACAAATTCATTCCCTGACCTCGACTTTTGATAATACCTTACGTCAAAAACCACACCTCTTTCTGGTACATCCACGAATCAGAAAGCTCTAAATTGAACCGGAAGTCGACCCATTTAAAATGTGGCAACTTCCCAGTTCAAGTTAGTTCTCAAGGAGTTCTGAGGAGAATTGGTTAGAATTCATGGGGAATTCATGAAGAATGGTGAAGTGAATGGAAGAGAATTCGAGAATTCAGGAGAGTCAGAGACGTTTGGAATTATAACTTCTGTTTGAACAACCCACGCACGACTATCTAAGGATTTCAGCAGCTCTCAACGGAGACGCTGAAAGGTCTGGAGGATTCTCTATCGAGCTGATCTATCATCACCAGGTAACGGTCTCTTCTTCGACTAAAGTGTACCGGAGGCGAGCTGAGATCTGATGAAGCGTGCACGTTCTGGTCAACAGATATTAATTCCCTCACATAGTTCTCTGTAAGAAAATCTCCATTTCATCTTAAACTCTTCTCTCTCTCACAAAACCAGTACAGATATTTTAGAAATATCTGAAGCAAAGTCCTCGTTCACCGCCGAGTGATCGATGCTCATTTTCTGTGAAACTTGTCTGTTATTATTTTCATATTTTGCCAAATTAATGTAAATGTTTGATGTTAAACTTTGATTCTGAAAATAAATGACCACATTCATTTTGATGGGTCAAAGATAATAACGTCTCTCATTACATTTTTGTTAAAATTCAATGCACGACTTACACAGTCAGAAAGATGAGGAACTCGTGAAATTGTATGCATATATATTTCATATATTTGTCATACTACATATGCAAAGAGGATCGAGGGTCAATTCATCTCACAAGACCCTCGGAGCATGTGGAGGGGCATTAAGTGCATAACAGATTATAAAGGAAGGAGTGAACAATGTCCCAAAGACCCATCTCTGCCTGATGCCCTCAACAAGTTCTATGCACGCTTTGAAGACCCGAACAGACCACCCAGCACCAGACTCACCTCACCACCGGATGAAGAGCATCTCAGCGTGACCTCAGCAGAAGTAAGGAGTACCTTCAGGAGGATTAATCCGCACAAAGCAACTGGCCCAGACAACATCCCCGGAAAAGTGTTGAAGGAATGTGCTGATCAGCTCTGTGAGGTGCTGGCAGACATCTTTAACACCTCACTTACCCTGGAGACAGTTCCCACCTGCCTGAAGACTGCCACCATCATCCCAGTCCCAAAAAGCTCTACAGTGACTGGTCTGAATGACTATCGGCCAGTGACCCTCACCCCGATAGTCGCTAAATGCTTCGAAAAACTGGTCATGACTCACATCAAAACAACCATCAACATCAACGAGGACCCTCATCAGTACGCATACCGTGAGAACCGATCAACAGAGGATGCAATCTCCTCTGTGGTCCACACTGCACTCAACCACCTGGAGCAGAAAAACTCTTACGTCCGTATGCTCTTTGTGGACTTCACATCTGCCTTCAACACCATGATCCCCCAAACCCTGATGGACAAACTATCCACACTAGGACTAAGCCCCTCCATCTGCAACTGGGTACTAGACTTTTTAACAAACAGACCACAGTTAGTGAGGATCCACAACCTCTCCTCCTCCACCATAACCCTCAGCACTGGCTCTCCTCAGGGATGTGTGTTGAGCCCCCTCCTGTTTACTCTGCTCACGTATGATTGTGCAGCTACCCATCCAGGCTGTCACATTGTAAAGTTTGCAGATGATACAGCGGTGGTGGGATGCATCACAAACAATGATGAGTCCAGCTACAGGCAAGAGGTGGAACACCTGGAGAGCTGGTGCAGAGAGAATAACCTTCACATCAATGTGAAGAAGACAAAGGAGATGATTGTGGACTTCAGAAGGAACAAAAACACCTACACCCCCCTGAACATAAGAGGATCTGCGGTGGAAGTGGTCTCCAGCTACAAGTACTTGGGTGTACACATGAATGACAACCTCAGCTGGAGCAACAACACCACCAGCCTGATCAAGAAAGCTCATCAGAGACTCTACTTCCTCAGACGGCTGAGACGAGCTGGTCTGGGAAGCTCAGTCCTCACCTCCTTCTACAGGTGTGCAGTGGAGAGCATCCTGTGCTCGAGCATCAATGTGTGGCATGGAGGCTGCACAGC